CACACCTGTAATCCTAGCTACTCGGGAGGCAGAGATCAGAAGGTTTTCTATTCAAAGCCAGCCCAGGCAAATAGTTCTTGACACCCTGTCTCAAAAATACCCAACACCAAAAAGGGTTGGCAGAATGGCTCAAGTGGTAGAGCACCTACCTAGCAAGCATGGGCTCTGAGTTCAAACCCCAGTACCACCAAAAAAAAAAAAGTAGAATTTCTGGATCATATGGTAGTTCTATTTAGTTTTTCTAGGAACTGCCATACTGTTTTCCCTCAATGCTGTAATTTATATTCCCATCAATAATGTATAAGGGATCACCTTTTTGTATATTCTCACCAACCCTCATTATCTTTCATCTTTTGGATAAAAGTCATTCTAAATACATATGAAGTGATATCTCATAGTTTTAATTTGCATTTCCATAATGATAAATGAGGCTGAGCATGTTTTCATATTTCTGTTGGCCATTGTATGTCTTATTTAAAGAAATATCTGTTTAGGTCCATTATCAATTTTTAAAGTAGATTATTTTCTTGCTGTTCAGTTCTTTAAGTTCCTTATATGTTTTGGAAATTAGCCCCTGCTATGGTTTGAATGTTTCCCCCAAAGTTTCTGTGTTAAAAACTTAAACCCACTGCAAGAGTGTTGAGAAGTGGAACCTTTAAGATATCATTAAATAATGAGAGATCTATTGTCATGAGTGAATTAATGTTATTATCTCTAGGAATAGGTTAATTATCTCACAAGTGGATTTGTTAAAGATGTGAATTTGACTATCTCTCTCTCACTCTCTCTTTCTCTCTCTCTCTCTTTCACTTTTATACTCATGCTTTATTGCCTGTTCATCTTTCACCATGGGATGATTGAACAAGTTGGCCCTTGCTTGAGGGTCCCAAGCATGAAAATGAAAAAAAGAGGGGGAAGATGGGAAAGATTGCTCCTGTACCTCTGAGCATTGTGAGTTCCCATTTTCAGAATTTGTTTTTTAGAGTTAGACTATTTCTCCTGAAGTTCTCTTTGTCTGCTCACTGGTATCCTCTATGGGTTGACTAAAGAGGTGGAAGGGGACATATGGATGATAAACTTCCTGCTGGTGCTCTGAAACCGAATTCTGTTTCTCAGTCTCCTGGCTATCCCATATTATTTACTTTCCAGAGTACTCAAATGTCTATTTTATGAATTTCTATACAGGATTTGTAATTCTGTTAGTGTGAGTAACAGGGTAGGGTGTGCTTCTCTGTCCTACAGATTTACAAACTTCATTGTCAACATAAATAGCAACAAATGTTGGCGAGGATGTGGGGAGAAAGGAACCTCACACGCTGCTGATAGGAATGTAAATTAGTACAACCAGTATGAAAAACAGTATGGAAGCTCCTCAAAAAACTGAAACTAGATCTGCCATATGATCTAGCAATACCACTCCTAGGGATATACTCAAAGGAAAGTAAGTCATGTTACAATAAAGGCACCTGCACACCCATGTTTATTGCAGCATTATTCACAATAGCTAAACTATGGAAACAGCCAAGATGCCTCACTACTGATGAATGGATTAAGAAAATATGGTATTTATACACAATGGAATATTATTCAGTCATAAAGAAAAATGAAATTTTGTCATTTGCAGGTAAATAGATGGAGCTGGAGAACATCATCTTAAGGGAAGTTAGCCAGGTTCAGAAAGCCAAAAGTCACATGTTTTCTCTTATATGTGGAACATAGACCTACTACAAATAAAAGCAATATAATGATAAACAGGTCATAGTAAGGGGAGATCAGTAAGGGGAGTAAGAAGTTAAGAAGATGAACATGGTTGATGTACTTCCTATACAAAAATGAATACAGAAATTTTAAACCTGTTGAAAACACCATAAGAAGGGGACTAAGGTAGAAAAGAGAAAAACAGAGGGGATGAACCAATTCAGGTTATAATACATACATGCATGGAAATGTTACAATGGAATGCTCTGTATAGCTTTTTCTTTTTTTTGAGCTTCACTGAAAAATTTTATTTCTTTGAAACATAAAAATATTGTCAGCTTGAGAATAATTCCACTGTAATATGTAGATCGTCTTGCCATTTAAACTAGAAGACGTCTTTTTCTTTCTTTTTTGACCCTTGATAAAATTTTATCCAAAAAACAAGATATGTGTGTGTGTGTGTGTTTTAAAACATGAACCATTAGAGAATGAAATTTGATATTGAGAGTAATTTCAGTTTGGCAGTCCCTGTTTTTTTTATGCTCTTTAAGGACAGAAGCAGAATGAAAGGATCACTAGCTCCAATTCTTGTTGACATAACAAGTGATGAAATAAAAAAAGAAAACCCACACCCCAAACAAGGTCAAGTGACCACATTCCTGTTGGGGCCACATTGGCTATTTTCCTGGGATTTACTGTGTCTGGTATTCACCTTGGTTTCCCCACTGTGAGTCCACAAGCAGCTTTCTGGTAGCTCTGCAAAGTTGCAAGCCTCCAGCTAGCTCCGCAGTGTTTCCTATAACTGTGACCACATTCTGTAGTGGGGTGGGGGACAAACTCTGTAAGTATATAACTCAGCTCCTGGCACAAATCAGAGCTCAGGGCTTTGAGAAATTATCTCCCCTGAGTCTGCTAGCGTAATAAACTCCCTGCTTCCTATGAAAATGGTCTTGCTGACTTTGTTTCCCTTGCCAATCCCACATTTCCTCCCATGCCTCCAAGGTAAAAAATTTGAGTACTTTTAGTAACAATTCAGGATTCATTCTTATCTCCAACCTGCTTCACCAGTGGAAGTTTAGAGTCATGATTTTTTTTAGGTATTTATACATACATATATATATATATATATATATATATATGGAGAGAGAAAGAGAGAGAGAGAGACTCATATAGATGAGAAATGATTTTTAAAAGTCCAGGTAGAGAAAGAAGCAATAATTTTTTAACTAACACCTTTCTATATTTTGATTACTGTTTAACTTACTATTCTTTAGTGAAAACCAAAGTTTCCATAATGTTCACCCCAAATCTTATTGCTTTACAACTGTGGCACACCTACCAATAAAAATGAAAAGATGAAACAGTCAATCCAGTGATTACTTTTACAGACTTTGTTTGGGAAAGGGGGAGGGGGTGTGGCAAAAAGAAGACCAACAGACAAAAAGGTAACTTAAACACTTCAGCATACAGTGATTTTCAGAGAGAGAGAGGGAGAGAAAAAGTCAGTTTCAACAAATGGGAAAAAGCATTGAAAGCTCCTAAGTCAAGCCATAGCCATGTTCTATCTTAAGTAGGCTCTCTTCCCCGTTCCCCTCCGCCTCTTTTTCTTTCTTTTTCCAATAAAACCTCTCCTCCCCTGACTAGGCTTCATCTTCAGGCCCTTCATCCCCAGATTTCCCGGGATGGAGTACTTGCAGACGTCTTTTCTGGAGGACTTTCCAGTTCCTCATCTTCTTTGGTAGGAGTCTTTTCCTTTGATGTCTTTGAAGCTGTGAGGCGACCAACTTTCCCTTTACATTTCACTGGACTTGGTGTCACTGAAGCCTTTAGCCTGGGTTCGGGCATTTTCTTTTCTTTTCTCCCAGGTTTGGACTTCTTAACCATCTTTTGGTTTTTTTTCTTTTTTTGCACTGCCATACTCACTATCCTCATCATCTTCCATTCAGAAATCTTCGCCAGTATCTTTCTCTGGATTGGTGCCTGATCCTCTTCCTCTGGCTCCTCCTCAGTGCCCACATCTTCCATGAGCATCGCTCTCTGTTGAGAAGCTGCTTTCCATGCTGCCTGCCCTTGCTGGAGCACGTTTTTATGATATCTTTTTCATCTTCACTGTCCTCGGCTGAACAAGAATCATTATTCTCGGTCTTCACAGCTTTTTTCTTTTGAGTCTTCACTGTCTTCTTGTGAATTCTTTCCAGATCACCTCTTATTTTTAGCTTCTTAGGGAGATGATCGAATTTTCTTAGCAGGAGAGCTGGAATCACTTCCATAGTCTTCATATGCATCATCAGATTCCTGAAACTCGGAATAATCAATGATCTTCCTATTTCTGACAGGCCAGGACATGTTCACTGTGGAAACAAGACCAGGTGGAGAAGCCAAAGACCAGGACCGCCACCTGCACGCTCACCCCCCCATACTCCTCCCTACATACCCTCAATAAACCCTATCTTGCTTGAACTCTAAGACCCTCAATAACCCTGGACACTGCTAAGCATAGACTCCTTGTTACACTCCTCCCATGCCTTTCATACTTGCACAAGCTCGTTTTTTTTTTTTCTTCTACTTCCTATGGTCCTTAAATGTGGTTTTCTCTGGGTCTTGACTAATAGACTCTGATCTTCTTACTGTAAAATCTTCCTAAGCAATCTTGTCACTCATTTTTCTATCTATATGCTTATGGTTTTCAGTATTTATTTCTAGCCCAGCACTTCATCTTGAATCCCACTTAAGTATAATTGTGTTCCAGACACATGTGCTTCTATGTATTTTAGGGACCACAAACTCACATTTATCTGTCTAAATGAAGGGGTACTTCATATATTTATTTGCCTGTTAGAAATAAAATTATCCTTAAATCTCCAGAACTGGATCCTTTCCACAACATTAACTGATCATTGAATTATTTCTGTTTTGCTTTATGTTTGTCAATTCCACATCTTAATAGTTCTGGAATTTACCTTTGCTCCATTCACACCCCACCCCATTACTATCTACTTCTGGCTATCTTCCTGTCACTAACATGTCATACTGGGTACCTTTACATTTTCTGTTGTTTCCTTCCAATCCATTTTCTTGTATAACCAGAGTAATCTGTCAGAACTATGAAATTAATCATCATGCCCCTTTTTAAGTCATGTAGCATTATTTTCCTAATGCTACATGACGAATTACACTGAAATTCGGATCACACATTTATTATCTCTCAGTTTCTGTGGGTCATAAATCTGGGCATGGCTTCACTGGGTCCTCTGCCTCTAAATCTTCAACAAGGCTTCAGTTAAGTGTTGGCCAGGACAGAGATGCCAGGTAAAGGAACTACTGGAGAAGGATTTACTTCTAAACCCATTTGTGTGGTTGTTGGCAGAATTTAGTTACCCAAAGATTATTGGCCTGAGACCTCAAGCTTTGGCCAGAGGCCTCCAACATGGACCCTTCCAACATGGCAGCTTACTTCATCAAAGTCATCAAGAAAGTCTTCTAGCAACACAGAAATTACATCTTTTTTAACCTAACCACAGAAGCGATGTCCCAACACCTTGGTCATATCTATTGCTTAGAAGTAAGTCTAGTCCATTCTCAAAGGGAGAGAATTACACAGGGTGTGACTTCAATAAGTGCAGATCATAGGATGTCATTCTAAAATGTCTTGGATGCAGTACTGAAATTGGGTTTGTTAATTGGTGAGATTTGCAAAAACAAAAGATTTACAGATCCTTGCAAGGTTTTGGAATAAAGATAAAATGATAAGGGATTGGGGTAGAAATCCTGCAAAAAAGAGGTAAGCAACTGTCCATAGACCATATTTGTGCTAGTTGTTTTGCCCTAGGTATGCCAAGGGAAAATTTGGGTACCATAATGGAAGCATTACTATTTATGATATGTTCACTCTGCTTTTTGTTTTATAGAAGAACTTATGTTTGCTTGTAATTGTTATTTAGTATAACAATAGTCTTTTCTATTCATATGTGTTATGTATTTCTTCCTGTGGCCAGAGACTAACAAGAGAAATATTTAATTCAATTCAATGGATATTTATCTAAAAGTGAAAGATGAATATATTGCTCAGTATGCAGTTTTAATTACTGTAGTTAAGATATTTAAACTAAGAACAGCTAAAACAAGATAGAAAATTCTCTCCCACATAAAGGCATGGTGGAAGCTGTGGGGTGTTATGATAGTTCTACTTTTATCAGGGACCAAGTTTCTTTTGTTCTATTGCTGTACCGTTATTAATACACAGCTTCTACCTCATGCTCCCACCATGCCACTTGCATTTAAGTTAGCACAAAGGAGGAAAGATGGAGAGCAAGTCTACATCACATCTCTGTTCATACTGTGCTAATCCCACCCCAATGGCTATATCTTGATCAAATGGCAATGCTTAGTTCAAGAAAAGTTAAGAAAGGAAATCCTTGTCTGGATCGACAAATCCCTAAGTAAGAAGGAGATATGGATGCTATGAGACAACTGGAAGTTGCTACCAGGTCTATATTTGAATTTCTGCCCTGAGTAACTTCAAAAAGTTCTATAAACATTAAAAATTATACATAGTTAACTATAATACAAGTAAAAATCAAGTAAGCATGAAATGAGAATTGTGTAAAATGTTATCAGTTTAGGTCTGAAAAGCTTAAATATGATACAAATGTTTACCATTTGAGAAACACATAAGACATCCAGGATCAGAAGTTCAATTGAATATTAGAACTGTTGGTTTAGATAAAAAAGAAATTATTTAACAAAACAGGCTGTAGAATATCTGATAAATAGGACTTTTTCAAACTACAACAACCTTAAAGTGACCAAGAAACCTCCATACCACCAAATTGTTGGAAATGATGAAGCAGGGGAAAAGACGGACAGTAACTAGCCTGAATCCTTCACACATTTTCATGCCTCCCAAGAAAGAATTACTCTCTTGATCAGATATTTCTACATGTCTTACTAAATAAGGAACTTTGATTTTCTTTTTGCTTCTTTCTTTCAGGGTGCTTTTCAATAAATGATGATCACTTTTTGGCAATTCCTCAGAAGAAGAGTGGGAAGCCAGTATTCGTTTATCACCATACACAAGACATTGAGAAGAGCCTAGATATTGCTCCACATAAGATGTATAAACATAGTTACCATTCTTCTTCTGAAGCTGAAATAAGAAAACACCACCAAATTGCTAATTCAGCATTTCCTAGACCAGAGTATGACCCATCTCTCAATCTGTTGGCTATGGCTGGTCAAGATCTTGAAGTGGAAAATCTTCCAATCCCAGCAGCTAATGTAATTGTGGTGGTAAGTATCAGGTTTAACTGATGCTGATGCTGATACTAATGCTTTCTTTTGGAGTTGATGTTAGAGAAAAACAAACTAATTGAAAATACTTATTTTTGGATTTCAATGGTTATTTACCATAGTGCATCTCACTCCCTGATCTTTCTTCTTTGTTACTTGATTATTGTCTGTTTCCTTCTTCCCATGAAATCAGAAAAGTTGTCTGTATCCTTGTTCATAGCACAATGCACGGTGCATTGTAGATACTTAAGTATTTGAATTAAAACTTACTTTAGGAAGGTTCTACAGTTATAGCAGATCATATCCTATACTGAGCCTCCTGCCTTCTGTATAATGTGTTCTAAAAAGATAGGATTTGGTGTCAGCCTATGTAAATAAATGGCACTTACTGAAGATTCTCTGGTCACTTAACTTGAATTGTAATAAATGAAGGAACAACCGAAAGAACAATTGTCATAGGGGAGAGTAGTTTTCTGTCACTGGAGTAAATAAGATGGCTTGAGAGAAGTTGATGGATAATACTCCTAATATCATTAGACAAGCACCAACCTACATTAATCAAGGTGAGACAAATATCATTTTGCTTATATTCTTAGAGTAGATAACATAGGCCAGAGGTCCCCAATTTGCCGAGGTGTTATAGTTTAAACCCATGCTGTGACACACTATTTGGACATAGTCCCTCTCAGATTGATCCACATTAAAACTACAAATCAGTTGATCATTACATGATATATATGTATACATATGTTTATATATATGCATCAAACAGCACATTTCCCTATCTGTAATTTTTAATGTATCAATTTTTTAATTTAAAAAGTATAAAAATAAAGTAATAATTAAAACCCAACAAATCAATAGCTAAATGTTATTGCATTTCTGCCTCAAAATACATTCAGATGAATTGATTTTTGAGGCCAACATAAGTCAATGAAACTATGTTTGCATTTTGGCAATTTTCTATGTAGCAAATGTAATTAAATTTAACATGCCATTTTTCTTTTCATTATTTTTTCTTTTCGTTATTTTTATCTACTATATTTAGTATACTTCACTCACTATTGAGAATCAAAAATCCATTCATTGATGTTTTCAACTAATATATTCTGAGTATTTATTTGATCCAGTTTGCACTTGAAGTATCTGGAAATAGATACAAATGGAATACATCCTTGGTTTTGCTTGAAAAATATATGGGGGGCATGCCAATAATTAAAATAACAATATAATAAAATCATAAATTGAGACCACAACATGAATTCTTTGTTAAAAGAGAATATATGGGTTGTTTGGTCTCCTGAAAAACTTGAACATGTTTTTTATTATTTTTTTACATTTCATGGGTAACAGATGTTCTGAAGGCAAAAGTCATGTATTCTGTCTGTTCCGTGAAGATTAATGATGTCTTTATATCTGGATATGCCAGTATTAATGCTAAGGTCCATGGGAGATTTTTTCTCTAGTGACCATCATATACCCTTGGTCATCAACTCTTTTTTTAAAATTTATTCATATGTGCGTACACTGTTTGGGCCATTTTTCCCCCTTGCCTCCCACTCCCTTCCACCCCCCTCTCTCCCAGGCAGAACCTGTTCTGCCCTCTTCTCCAATTTTGTCGAAGAGAAGACATAAGTAATAATAAGAAAGACATAGTGGTTTTGCTAGTTTGACATAAGGATAGCTATACGGAGAGATTCCTAGCACTGCTTCAATGCACATGTGTATTACAACCCAAATTGATTCATCCCTACTAGACCTCCTCACTACTTCCTGGTCACCTTCACATAGTGACCTCTGTCGTTTTAAGGTTAGTATATTAACTCCTCTACAGTGGAAACATCAAACCCTTTCAGGTTTTGGGTTTCCGACCTTTCCCTATTTCTCATGTATGTGTTCTCCCCTGAGTGTGTGACCCATGTCCAATAATATTACTGCATTTGTTTTAGGTCTAAAGTCCTCATATGAGGGAGAACATAAGATTTTCGGCTCTCTGAGCCTGGTTAAATTCACTCAAGGTGATGTTCCCCAGTTCCATCCATTTACTTGTGAATGATAAGATTTTATTCTTCTTCATGGCTGAGTAAAATTCTATTGTGTACAAATACCACATTTTCTTAATACATTTGTCAATAGTGGGGCATCTTGGCTGTTTCCATAACTTGGCTATTGTGAATAGTGCTGCAATAAACATGGGTGTGCTGGTGCCTCTGGAGTAATCTGTGTTGCATTCCTTTGGGTATATCCCTAGGAGTGGGATTGCTGGATCATATGGCAGATCTATGTTTAATTTTTTGAGATGCCTCCATATTGTTTTCCAGAGTGGTTGTACTAGCTTACATTCCTACCAGCAGTGTATAAGTGTTCCTTTTTCCCCACGTCCTCTCCAACATTTGTTGTTGGTGGTGTTGCTGATGATGGCTATTCTAACAGGGGTGAGGTGGAATCTTAGTGTGGTTTTGATTTGCATTTCCTTTATAGTCAAAGATGGTAAGCATTTTTTTCATGTGTTTTTTTGGCCGTTTGGAATTCTTCCTTTGAAAAAGTTCTGTTCAGTTCAGTTGCCCATTTCTTTATTGGTTCATTGACTTTTTGGGGGGGGTGTACTTTTTTGAGCTCCCTGTATATTCTGGTTATCAGTCTGATGTATAGCTAACAAACATTTTCCCCCACTCTGTGGGTGGTCACTTCAGTTTACAGACCATTTATTTTCTTGTGCAGAAGCTTTTAAATTTCATGTAGTCCCATTTGTCCATCCTTTCTCTTAGTTGCTAAGCTGCAGGGATTCTATTGAGGAAGTCTCTACCTATACCTGTTGCTTCCAGAGTATTCCCTGCTCTTTTTGGTACTAGTTTCAGAGTTTCAGTTCTGATATTAAGGTTTTGTCTTATTGCTCTGGCTAGGAATTCCAGGACTATGTTGAATAGGAGTGGGGAGTGTGGGCACCCTTGTCTCATACCTGATTTTAGGGGAAATGGTTTCAGTTTTTCTCTATTAAGAATGATGTTGGCTATAGGTTTGTCGTATATAGCCTTTACAATGTTAAGGTATTTTCCTTCTATTCCTAGTTTTCTTAGAGCTTTTATCATGAAGTGGTGTTGAATCTTATCAAAGGCTTTTTTCTGTATCTATTGAGATGATCAAGTGGTTTTGTCTTTGCTTCTATTAATGTGCTGAATTACATTTATAGATTTGTGTATGTTGAACCACCCCTGCATCCCTGGGATGAAGCCAATTTGGTCATGGTGAATGATCTTTCTGATATGTTGTTGGATTCAGTTTGCTATTATTTTATTGAGGATTTTTCATCAATGTTCATTAAGGAGATTGGCCTATAGTTCTCCTTTTTGGAGTTGTCTTTGTCTGGTTTTGGAATGAGTATAACACTGGCTTCACAGAATGAGTTAGGCAGTTTTCCTTCCCCTTCTATTTCATGGAAAAGTTTAAGGAGAGTTGGTATTAGTTCTTCTTTAAAGGTCTGATAGAATTCAGCAGAGAATCCATCAGGTTCCAGACTTTTCTTTTTTGGGAAACTCTTTATTGCTGCTTCAATTTCATTTTGTGTTATAGATCTATTCAGGTGATGAATAGCATCTTGGCTCAATTTTTTTTTATTGTTTTATTATTCATATGTGCATACAAGGCTTGGGTCATTTCTCCCCCCTGCCCCCACCCCCTCCCTTAACACCCACTCCACCCCCTCCCTCTCCCCCACCTCAATACCTGGCAGAAACTATTCTGCCCTTATCTCTAATTTTGTTGAAGAGAGAATATAAGCAATAATAGGAAGGAACAAGTGTTTTTGCTGGTTGAGATAAAGATATTGGCTCAATTTTGGATGGTCATAAGTACTTAGAAATTTGTCCATTTCTTCAAGATTTTCAAATTTATTGGAATTTAGGTTCTCAAAGCAGTATCTGATGATTTCCTGGATTTCCATGGTGTTTGTTGTTATCTCCTCTTTTGCACTTCTGATTTTACTGATTTGAGGGTTTTTTGTTGTTTTTTTTTTTTTTGCTCCATCTATTTTGAATGATAGTTTTGCTGGGTAGAGTATCCTAAAGTTGAAGTTATTTTCATTCAGTGCCCAGAATACCTCACTCCATGCCCTTCTTGCTTTTAAGGTTTCCATTGAGAAATCTGCCGTGATTTTGATGGGTTTACCTTTAAATGTTATTTGTTTTTTCTCTCTTACTGAGTTCAATATTCTTTCTCTGTTCTCTGTGCTTGTTGTTTTAATGGTAATATGTTGTGGGGATTCTATTTTGGTTAAGTCTGTTTGGTGTCCTGGAGGCTTCCTGTACCTGAATGGACATAACTTTCTCTACATTTGGGAAATTTTCTGTTACTATTTTATTGAGTATATCATGAATCCCTTTTGCTTGGACCCATAATTCTCAGGTTTGGTCTTTTGATGGAGTTAGTGAGTTCTTGCATAGTCCTTTCATAGGTGTTGAGTTGTTTGACTAATAGATCTTCAGTTTTTCCTTTAATTTCTATTTTATCTTCAAGTTCTGCAATTCTGTCTTCTACTTGTTCTAGTCTGCTGGAGTGGCCTTCCACTGTGTTTTGTGTTTCTGTTTCATTTTTTTTTTTGTTGTTTTTTTGAGGTATTCTATATCATGAGCCACTTCCTCTTTAATATTGTCTATTTTCATCTTTAATTCATTTATCTCTCTATGGTGTTTTCTGTTTCACTTTGGTATTTATTTAGGGCTCCTATGAGTTCATTTATCTTCTTGTATTCTTTATTTTTGGTGTCTTGAAATTTCTTGAGTGCATCTTGTATGTTTTGGTTAACCATGTCTAGTGTCATCTCCATGAAATTCTCAGTGATTACTTGCAGGATTTCTTCTTTGAGGCTGTTTTTGTGGACATCATTGGGTTCTTGGTGTCACTTATCTTTGTTTTATTAGAGTCCAGAAATGGCTATCTTTTTTCTTGATTTCCCACTGAATCCTGTATTAAATTATTTGGGGAAGAGAATGGATATATCCCTT